GAGAGAGCCAGAAGGAAGGACACAGGGGATCCGAAGCAGGCTCTGTGCAGTGAGCTTGAACTCACAGACCGTGAGATCACGACCTGAGCCAAAACCAAGAGTTGGATGCTCAACTGACTGAGCCACCCAGGTGCCCCTCTAATCTATTTTTTAAAATGAGTTTGCTTCTTTATTTCCTTGTACCCATCACTGTTGCTTAAGATGCCCTTGCGACATCCCTTCCTGCTTATGGAAATTCTTTACAATCCCCTTAATGGCCCCTTCTTTGAGAAATCCTCCTGGATCCTTCTAGTCTGAATGGACCTCTTCCTCTGACCCCCTAGAACAAGGGGGCAGCTGGTCTGTCCTCAGCACTCAGCACAGTCTGGGGGCAGAATAGGCACTCAGCAGTTCTTTGCTGAATGGATGCCTCTTTATTCTTTCTTTTCTCCCCTCTCCTCTTTTCCCCTCTCTCTTCTTTAGAGTTAGCCACACCACATCTCCCTTTTGTCTGTGACATAGTCTTTGCTTCCTGGTCGCTACTGTTGCAAATGCAATCCCTATGGAGTTAGCTGTGTGCATGCCTGTGTTTGCAACCAGCTCAGCTTTAGGGGGGCAGGGCCTTTGTTCTTGCTTTTTTTTTTTTTTTTTTTTTTATAACCCTCAATGCACGGAGCAATGCCTGGTAATTGAGGGAGTGGGCAAAGAAATCTCCAGAAACTTCTTCGGCTGCCTCTGGGAGGTCTGATGTGCCATTCAAAACAAACATGCTTTGGCATTATTTTTCTTTAGTTTTAGGGTTATTTTTGGTTATTGAGGTATGATGTACGTATAGTAGAAATCGCCCTTATTAGGTGGACACTTTTATGGTCTTTAATGTTTATGTAGTTGTATGACCACCAACATAACCAAGATAGAGAATATTCCACCCACCCCCATTCTCTCACGCTTCTCTGCCTCCTTCCAATCCCTGGCGATCACTGATATCCGAATAGCTTTGCCTCTTTCCGAATGTCATATACAGGGAGTCATGCAGTATGTGGCTTTTTGAGTCTGGTTCCTTTCACTTAGAATCACGCTTCCTATTTTGGAATTTGATAATGTGGACCCTAACCCACACTTTGTCTGCCCTGCCTTTCTCATAGATGAGCAGGGGGCACGTAGCGGGGTGTGGATGGGTCTGTGTGAACTGCAAGCATCTGAGTCAGTCCTACCTCTTGTTAGTGCCTACCTTGTCAGTGCCTCTTTGGACCCAGGGTCCCAGATGCTTTGTCCAACCTACTGACCCTCCCTCCCTTCCTGTCCCCCACTGTGGCACCTGGCCTGGGACAGCCTTCTCCCCTGGGTCCTGACTGGTCGTCCCCGTAGCGGTGGGGGGCACAGGGGAGGAGGGAAGCTGGGTGGATGGGGTGGGGTGACCACTAAATTCCTCCCTTGGGGAGGGGGTGGGAGTGGGGTGACAAAGGTCAGGCCTCTCCTGGCTAAAACAACAGAAGTGGTTCCAGCTGCCGAACAGCTGGAGGGGGATGTCTGCTTTCCCTCAGCAGCGTGAAAAGCCCTTTAATCGGGGGGCATGCTGTTGTCAGGCCCCGCGGTGGAAGCGTGTAGAAGAAGAGCAGACACCACCGTGGCTGCAGACCTCCCCTTCCCTTTGACCTCCCTTATCTCCCCTCCTCCATCTTCTCGCGCCCCACCCCGCAGCCGCCAGATCGAGACCCTCCGTTGCACCTGTGTAAATGCAGTGGTCGTGGGGTCAAGGAAGGGTGAGAGCGAGCTGGCAGAAATAGGGATGTGGACTTTCCATGCAGATGATGGATTAGATAGTGGGTGGGTGAGTGACATTTTAATGTGAAATTGCTCTTTGTTCCCAAAGACGCAGGCCCCCGGGGGAAAAGACCAAAGCCCGGCTTTGCAGATGGTGAAGCAAGTGACAAGAGGTGGACAGTCCCTGGCCGGAGAGTAAGAGGCTGAGCTACGGCTCGGCATCTGGAATGTGGTTCTCTACTCTTTGTTCCAGGCACTGGCTCTAGGAGTGGCTTTTTTTTGCCTTTTTCAATGGCAGAGCTACCTCCCGGAAATGCTCTGTGGTGCCTGGGTTCTAAAAACTCGAGCCGGACTTTGAGTCACAAACGTGACGGGAAAACATCCCTCCCTTGGGAAAGCTCGCTTTGCCTGTAGACCCTTCTCCTCTCCTGCCACCGAGGAGCCAAGGCCGGAGACCCTGCCTACTGCTACCAGAGCTATCAACAGAGCCCCCTCCGCCCCCAGCCAGCCTTGGGCTCAGTGCTCTACCCTGTGCCAAAGGAGGCAGTGTGGTGTAGCAGAAGGAGTCTGGCCTTTTAGAGGCAGACAGAAAGAGTGCCCGCCACTTAACTAGCCTGACCCAGTGGGGCCTCGGCCTCCTCCTCATTTATTCCATCATAAGTACTTATCGAGTGCCCGCCTGGGGCAAGGCCCCTGCTGGGAACTGGGGATCCGGCGGCGTGGCACCCAAATCTTGCTTCCTGGGCAAGGAACATACAATTAAACTGCTGGTGACTTAATTGCAGTTGTGACACAGAGCACAGTGGAAAGCAGAGGCTGTTAAGGAGACTTGTCACAGGGGTCCTGATTGACTTGGGAAGTCAGTGCCCCAAAGAAGCAGCATCTGCGCTGAAATTGGAAGGATGGATGGGAGGTATGAGGTTGGGGCCCAGTCCAGGGGAAGGGCCAGCAAGTCCTGAGGCAGGAACAGCGCAGTGGGGGCTAACCATTCCTATGCAGCTGGGGGCGCGGACGGGAGGGACCTGTACTGTGATACCAATACCGACAGAGCAGGCGCACAGGTAGGGATCATTCCCCTACCCAGTCCTTCCAAGTAAGCGTTTGCAGTTTGGGCCAGGAAACTCACCATTACTTACAATCTTCATTCTGTGGAAAAGTGAATTCAGGGTGCCAAAAATCTGACTTATAAAGGACTCATTGATACCATTATCAGAGTTTTCTACCTTGACACATACTCACTTCGGGCTCAGCAACCCTGGGCCCCTCAGATTACTGCCTAACTTAGGGAAGGGATAACTTATCTGCAGGGTCATAGGAAGGCTGGGGGAGGGCCGTGTGAGAAGGATTCCTGCAGGGGCAGCCTCACCGGGAATGAGCTGCTTGGCTGCTTAATGATGATATCTGCCGTGGGTATATGGGTCCTGTCTCAGCCACTCCGGTACATCCCCTTCAATGTCTTTGTGACTCCTTTTCCTTTAATTCAAGGGAAAAAATCCTGTGTTTAATGTGCGGCTTTCCTTATCTAATAGATGTTCCTTCAAAGGAAAGACAAGAACAAACAGCTTACATTACTCTATGCGTTTGAGAATTTTAAGCTTTTGGCGGTGGTTGGACAAAGATCTCTTTTCACAGTAAGTGATAAAAAAAAAGGGGGGGGGGAGCTTCTTATCCAGGATATGTTTTAGGTAAGGTTTGTTACTGAACACTGCCTTAGATTGGGCAGTGTTAGGCCCCGTGTATGTAAAGAGACACAGGACACAGTCCTTCACAGACATATAAACACACGAATGATGGTGCGGTGTGCTGAGGGTTTTGATGGAAATCTGAGCACAATGCAGCAAGAGCTCCAAGGAGCTACTGGTGGTGTTTAAAACATGAAAACATTTGCTCTTTGGGATGACGAGCTCAGCGCAGTACGGAATTTGAACTTGAATGGGGAGAAAACGTTGGTGGCAGGGTCAGACATCTAGGCAGAAGGTAAAGGACTGAATGAAGTCATTATGGATAAGCGAGAAAAGCCTGCTGGAGAGAGAGGCCCAGCCAGCACCATAGTTTTTTCAGACACTCCAACGGAGGCACCAGTGAGTAAAGCCACAGTGGATGTTCCAGCCCCGAACAAGCTCCCAACTGAAGGTAGCCAAATGTGTCACCTCAGGTGACACCTCGCGGAGCAGAAGAATCTCCCAGCTGAGCCCAGCCAAGCCATGGACTCGAGAGAAATGATCAGTTATTTAAAGTCACTAAGTTCGGGGACGGTTTGCTTCGCAGCAACAGATAAGCGAAGCAAAAATATTAAAAGTGAGTAGCTGGAGCCGTGTTATGCAGAAGTTTACTGAAGAAAACCTCACATCAGTTGAGTTTGGCCTGTGAGTTTTGGCTCTGATCTCATAAAGGGGAAAGCCACTTGCTACTCCAAATTGTGGCCTTCCCATTTCTAGGCACAGTGGCTGGGGTGCTGCCCCGGCTGTTTAGAAGGGCTCCTGCCCCCTCTTCTATAGCTGGGAAAAGTAGAGAGATACGCGTGTTACCAGAAAAATGCCGATTAAGAATTTCAGATGCTGGTTAAATCAGCGTGGTACAGGTGGAAGTGAAGACTGCAAAACCAATTCCATATTCTACAGACTCGAATATCTCCTCCTAGATGGAACCTTAGGCTGCCTCTGTTGTTCCCTGTATTGTCATGGAAACTTGGAAGTCAGTCAAACCTAACACAGCTTGTGGCATTGGAGTGGTCTCCCAGTGCAAAAGGTTTGCATTCTACTCTGCTGGAGCCTGTGTGCATTTCGGACAGAAGGGATTGTTAGTCTGACACCGGCTTCATCCACCTCCGTCTCTTCTCTGGAGACGACAGTCCCCAGCCGGTAGCTTACTTTTCCACTAGGAAGGATGGGTTGTTTATATGTATTTCAAGTGCTTGTCCTACTTTACAAATGTGAGCAAAACATAAACTGCTGTGTTTGCTTTGGAATCATTCACTCCCCAAGGAGAGAGAGGGTGGGAGTAGCAGATGATTGCAAACTCACAATTGTCCTGGCCCCTTTTGTTTGGTTTCCGTATTATGCAATCATATTTAGCATAATTGTTTTGTTTTTGTTGTCTTTTGGTTAGGAAGAAGGAAGGGAATGTATGTGAGGATTTTTATGAAAATACTATTCCGCCCCCCCCCCCCAGAAGGAAATAGTCCAGGCTTTGTCTAGCTGGGGAGACAGCTTGCCCTCCCCCGGCCCCCAACCCAATACCAAAAACTTCCTTCAACCATGGCGGCTTTTGAGCCTACAGCAGATGTCTGTGGCTCGGAGGTTCAGGTACAACAGGGTGACTCAGACTCTGAGTTTGGTCTCTGTGTTGAGAGAACTGACCCAGGCCATACGCCGGTGCTGGGCACTTGTAGCCTGAACCCCTAACTCCTGCAGAAGAGAGGAAAAAGCCAACTTTGTGACCTCAGGTAGATTGATGAACTCCTAGGCAGTCCTGCTGTTGACCAATAAGTAATGAACTGATTTCACGTCCAGTCTCAAAATGCAGAAATGATCTGCTTCTTTTTTTCCATAGTCCGGTGAGTCTTAGCTTGGCTCAACTAGGAGAAACTCCAGCAAGGATGCGTGTCTCTGTCCCCTCCCCCCACGCCCCCACCTCTGTAACTGTGCTCGCGAATATGGTAGCCCCTAGCCACATGCGGCTATGCAAATTTAACTAAAATTAAATGCAACTAAAAATTCAGTTCCTCGGTTGCATTAGCTACATTTCAGGGCTTAATAGCCACATGTGGTTTGTGGCTACTGTGTTGGACAGCACAGATATAGAACTCGTTTGTCATTGCAGACAGTTCTGTTGGACTGTGTGGCTTTTAGCCTTGCAGAGTCCCTAGGACTAAATCCTCTCGAGGCCCTGCAGTATCCTGTTCCCTTGCTGTATGGCCACTGTCTGCTTGCTTGTTGTCTCCACCCTAGAGTGTAAGCTCACTGGGGGGTGGGACTATGTTGGTTATGTTCTGTTTGCCATGCCTCATGCAGTGCTGAGCTCATAGTGCTGGCTTATTGAGGACAGAAGTAGATGAATGGATGGCTCAATAAACAGTGTCTGTGGACCTAAAGTAATCCCCTCAGGCCGTGGAGGTTTGGGTGATCATATTAGGGCATAGTCATCCTATTAAAAGTCCATTTTATAGAACTCATTGCCTTTTTTTTTTTTTTTTTTTTTTTTTTTTTTTTTTCAAACAACCACAAATACACACAGTTCCTAAAACAGATGAAAATGAGACACCACAGACGGGGCAAGACAGTCTTTTAGCAATGGCCCCGTGCTGTCTCGGAACTTTTTTACTTGGCCTCAGGGGCCAGTAATTTCTAGATGGAACCTTTGGGGAGCCCTTGTGGAGGTGGGAAGGATCTCCGTGTGTTGGGGGTGGGTGGGGCTTCCTCTGAAGCTCTTTAACCTGTTTTCAGACAGAATGTTCCCCTAGTCATTAAGCTTGTCTCTGGCACAGCTGTCGTAGCGTCTCTGTTGGCCCAGAGCAAGCCATTTCCAAACCAAATTTATGGCTTGCAGTTCAATGCCACGGTGACGCCCACAGCTCTCCTCTCCCGTGAGCTGAGGAAGAGAGAACAGGGCAATCTCCTTGGGTTTGAAAAGAACTTTGTCTCTTTCGATGCCTGCTTTTTAAGGTGAACATGAGCCCTGTGAGGTTCTTCTCCCAGGCAGTCCTGTCTTGTCTGGGTCTTTAGCGGTTGGTGGCTGGCACACAGTAGGCTTTTGGTAAGTGGCTTTTGACTTTGGGAATCCAGTTGTGCAGGAGGGGCGGACCTTCTGTTTGCAGACTTGCCCTGTAATAAAGAAGGGCGGTTTTGGTGTAGTTGGAAGCACGGCTTCGAGCCAGGCTGTGGGTGTCACTTCCAACACTCACACCCTGTGCTTAGAAGAGTTACCTGGGCTTTGGTCTCCTCATCTGTAACATTAGGTTTGTAGCTTACTCTGTCTATCACGGGCTTATTGCAAAGACTAAATTAGCGAACACAGTGGAAGTGATACCTAATTATTAGTTCCTGTTGTTACCGATCTTCAGAGTTAAGGTCTGGCTACCAAATCCCTTTGTGACCAAGGATGAGTTCCCGGGTTTTCCCAGGCTTTAGGAGATACAGATAGTTCTGTCCTTGTCCGATCCTGAGAAAGAAAGGGCATGTTTTTCCTTGGATCCTGCTGATTCCCGTGGCAAATTAACCTAACCAAGTAGGTCTTAAAGGCAGGCCACACTGCAGGGAAGTAGCACGTGGGTCCACAGATGAGGCGGTGGTGATAACAGCAGAGCCATGGCCCGCGCTCTCAGACGGTCTCGGGGTCACTGGTTGGCCTGGAGAAGCCTGGATGTGAGGACACCGATCCCACCCTCGGCCCAGGTGCCGGCTGCTCACCAGGCAGAATTACAGAGCCAGGTCTGGCTGTATTTCTAGGCTGCGGACAGGTTAGGCATGGGTCTGGGAGAGCCATCCATCCAGAGGGGGGAAGAGAGATGTTTTGAGACCGGCTTTGTGGGTTGCAGCCCCCTGTGTCCTGTGTCCATCCAGGAGCCTGTGGCCAGGGCTTCCCAAACCCGCCTCGTTCAGCTGGACCTTTGGGGTCCAAGTTTTCCATGGCAGGCGGTCGCTTTAGGCAGAGACAGTCGTAGTGGCAGACGGGCCTGGGTGGGGTAGGAGAGAAAAGACCCACCGTTCAATCTCAGAGCCAGCTTAAGTTCTGAGGTGGAGCTGGGGCAGGAAGTTGTGGACCACCTCAGCCACCATAGAATGTGGGGTTGGCACAGAGGGGAAAGCTCAGAGCATGGGGGTGCGGGAGTGGCCCAGTGATCCCCTGGGGTTATGGCAGGAGCCTTCAAGGCCAGACCTGTCACAGTACACCAGTTGCTTCTGAGGTAATAGCACGTGGGAGATGTTGCTATGGGGACACATTCACCCCTCAGATGCCTGAGTGCCCCGGCCTTGTGCTCGATGCTGGGGATGTATTCACAGGCCAAATAGACATTCTCCTTGTCTTTGCGGGATTCGGAGTTGGGGATTCCATTGTTAATCAACTCACACAGTTCATCGTCACAAACTGTATTCAGTGCCGGGAAGGAAAAGTGACGTGTGAGAAGTTATTCTAGGAGACCTGTGCTCATCTGTGAGAGTCAGGGAAAGCCTCCTAAAAGAGATGATGTGAGCTGAAATCTGAAGTAGGGGTGGGAGGGAAGGGAGAAGGCACAGTGTGTCCAAAGGCCTGGAAGTAGGAGCAAATGAAGCTCATTTGGGAAATGGAAAGCAGGCCAGTGTGCCTGACCAGCAGTGGGCGAGGTGAGGACGAAGCGGTAAGAGCTGAGGCCGGGGAGGAGGCCCCAAGGTCAGATTCTGCCAGGCCTGTGAGACTGTGTGAAGATCCTGAGGGGCAATAGGACACCACTCAAGGACTTCAAACAGGGTGAACCTGAGGGCAGTGAGGCCAAGGATCTCATGCAGGGTTGAGGTGTGGACGGCACTACCCCTTTCCACTATCCTGTCAGCTCAAGCTCTCTCCTCTGTGTGGCAGCCTGGGAGGCAGTGGGCTTCCTCTGGATATGGTTCTCTATATTATTGGTTTCCCTCCCAGAGCACTAGACTCTACTATGAGATGCTATCAGGACATTTCCTTTTGGGCTTGGGCAGGATTCAGGTTGAACCCGTGTGTGTGGGAGCCCAGAGGGTCTGCAGGGAAGGCAAGTTGCACTGTCCATCCTGAGGAGGGCTGCATGGTTTCAGCCCTCAGCTGTTCTCTCCCTGTGCTGACCAGCCAGCATTCAGGCAGGAGGTCAGGGTCGCAGGAGGAACCGGTCTCGCATTTGGGGGACAGTGTGTGCCCTAGGGGACAGGCTTGGACTCTCCTGGAATTTGGCCGGGGTGGGGTATGTTTTCCTGGTGCTCCCTTGAAGGGAGAGGTACTGCCTGCGGACTCCCTCTGCTGTTCTGGAAAAGGGTCAAACTCTCATTTATTTGCTTTGCACAAAGGGCCTGAAGATACATCGGAAACAGGGGTTGTATTCACACCCTCCCTAGATCCTATGAGTTTGGTGTGATTATTCAGTCACTCCAGTATCACCAGTGGCCAAATGTGTGCTCACGATGTTGCCGTGCATTATTGTGGAATATGCATTCTGTCAACTTGTACTGATGAAGAGCCTTGAGTGGGCTTAGAGCTCTGCTCTTTAGGGGTAGATAAGAGTGGATGCAGCCCCTGCAGCCTAATCATGGGTTATTCAACAGAAGCTCACAGATTCTGTGATCCAATTACTGTTTTCCAGCTGTATCCTATACTTGCTAACAGGGATTCACTAAAAAAAAAGGGTTCACGGTCAGGTAAGTGGGAGATGCATCATTCTGCATGCCCCTTGACCTGGTTATCTATTGCTGTGTAACAAGCTACCACAAAATTTAATGGCCTAATACATCAGTTTATTATCATCCCTTACATTTCCATGGGTTGACTGGGATCAGCTGGGTGGTTCTCACTTGGGGTGTCTCATGCGATTATTTTTATTTATTTTTATTATTTTTATGCAATCAGATGATAGTGGGGGGTGGACTCATCTAACGGCTTCTTCACTCACATATCTCTGTGCCTGGGTTGGTTGGGCATTTCTCTCTGCACCTGGTTTTGTCACATGCTAGCTTGGGCTTCCTCATAGCATGGCAGTCTCAGGGCTCTTCGGCTTCTTATGTACTGACTGAGTTCCTTCAGAGTGAGTGTTGTGAGAGGCCCGGGAGGAAACTGTAAAGCTTCCTATGACCTTGCCCAAAAGGCCCCAAACATCATTTCCACAGCATTTTATTGGTCAAATTACTGAGGCTGGCCCAGATTCAAGGGAGGGAATTAGCTCAACAGGAAGAGTAGCACACAATTTGCTGCTATCACAATGTATAAGAATATATCAAAGATGTTGAGCAGTCCTGAAGCAAGGAAACCTGTTTAACTCAGTATTTCCCAATCCGATTATTATCTTTTTAAATCAGGAAATCCTTTTCTCAGAGAAAATCACTTACCTCTGCCAGAGAACAATGGTCAGAAGTTGAAGGGTGATGGAGTTGGGTCTCAGTACTACTCTCTAATAAATGAAACTCCCCAAAGCTGGGATGCAGAGATTGCTAGTGAGTTGCTGATTTGGGGAAGTACCCAAACAGGGGTCATGTGACTACATGCAAGGATGGAGAGGCTGAATATCCCGGTGGCAAAAGCTTTGATTTGACTTCTGACCGATCTAGGTTCAAATCCGTCACTTCTAGCTGTGTAACGTTGGACAAGTTCCCTCTTTCTGGCTTGATTTTCTTTATCTGCAAAATAAATAGTTCCTATTTCATAGGGCTGTTGTGAGGATTAATGAGATCCTGCCTGTGAATGACTTAGCACAAGATGCTTTCCTTGGTTAGACTTCGTGGCGGCTGAGTTCCCTTCCACTTCTAGGGGTTAATGACTTTGGGTTTATTCTGGACCTGCGCCCCAAGGCGAGGCAGTATTGTAAGACACGGGCTCACCCCTGCTTTTCTTGCAAACGTAACCTCTGTACTCTTTCACTTTTCTCCAACCTAGTTCCTCATCAGTGACCGTGACCCGCAGTGCAACCTCCACTGCTCCAGGACCCAGCCCAAACCCATCTGTGCCTCCGATGGCAGGTCCTACGAGTCCATGTGTGAGTACCAGCGAGCCAAGTGCAGAGACCCGACCCTGGGTGTGGTACATCGCGGCAGATGCAAAGGTGAGTGTGGGCACATTCGCCCAGCCGCAACGAGGCTCCCGGGCCGCGTGGCTCCCTTTGTGCTGTGCTTGAAGTTTCGTGGGAAACTCAGAATGCATCTGTTCATTTTGTTTGCCACTAACCCTCCGCCCTCCCACCAGGGAACATGGGAAGGAGAACTGGCCTACCTGAAGGAATGAGTACTTTTCTGTCCTTCCAACACTGCCACCAGGCTAGGGCTTAGAGAGACGTGCTGCTGTCTGGCTGGTGCCCTTTACTTGTATTTTTCGTTTTTGTAAATGGAGATGCTTAAAATGGCAAGACGTTATTGTTGGCTCCCGAATAGGGATTCCAAATGGCTGGCCAACAGATGGGTTTTGTTTGGGCTGCTCGCGTGTTTAAAAATATTAAAAACATTTGAGACAACATTTCAAAATTGAGAGATTCAACATAAAAATCTGGATTTTGGTACTTCTCATAAATAATTGGAAGCCCTGGTAATGTTAGGTCTGTGTTCCCTCCCACAGGGAAACACATGGCTAGACCTGAGTAGCAGCTTCCTCCTCTAAAGGGGAGCCCGTTCTCCGCTTTGCCGCAGTCCCCAGCACTCCCTGTGGTGTCTCCAAGCTGAGTGCCGTTCTTTGCACACCCAGTTCAGTCCCCTAATTTATATCACTTTCCTAGGCCCTGTGGAGATTGGAGTTTGTGATTTAATCAGCTCTGGGCTGCTTCGAGCTGTTGTCGGAAATGGCATAAGACTGAGCAGGCTGCCCTAGAGCTTTTGGTGTTCCAAAGAAAGTGCTTGCAATTCTTAAAGCATAAAACATCTTTGAGACCCCTTGGGCTTGCAAGTTTTTTAATACGCCCAGTGAAAAAAATTTTCCCCTGGTTGGGGGTGGGTGTGGCTGAAGGTACTCGGGAGAAAAAAATAAGCAGAATCTGGTATAAATACGCCTCCCTGGCTTTTCTAAGGTCAACATTAAGGGGACGATGAGGCCGAGCAGCACTTATTAGCCACTGCCTTTGTGTTGTTAGAAAATCCAGTTGGTGGTATTGTGGGCTCACCCACAGGCAGAGAGGTTTTCTCTCAGCATTCCTAGTACTGGGCAGCCATTTTGTCCCATGGCTCCAGTGCAGATCCGGGTGAAATATGAAATGTGCTCCTCCTCTCCTCTTATAGACGCTGGCCAGAGCAAGTGTCGCCTGGAGCGAGCGCAGGCCCTAGAGCAAGCCAAGAAGCCCCAGGAGGCGGTGTTTGTCCCGGAGTGCAGCGAGGATGGCTCTTTTACCCAGGTGAAGCCTTGGCCAAGTCTCTCAGCCCGATTTCCTGGACTGAGGCCAAGGGGAGGCGCTTGAGAGTGGGAGGGCCCCTCAGAGCCTTTGCTTTCTGGGAAACAGCTGAGGGCTCTTTGACACCTTCTGGTACTACCTTCTGGTGCCTGCATTCCCCCTCCTGGGCTCTCCATGCCACCCTTTGCCAGCTGGCAGTGGGTCCTGAAAAAGGGGCATGGAAGTCTGAGCCAGGAAACTGGTATTGCTTGGTCCCCATGCTCCCTGCTGGCTGTCTCCATTTTTCTCTTCTGTCAAATGCTGACTGATTATTTTTCTTATCCCAGCCAGTTTCCATGGGCAACCCCTGGTAATCCCATCACTGTTTATTTCTACCCCTTCTGCACTCCCCTTCTTCCTACCCCCAGTCCTTGAACGAAGCAGTGCTCCCTCTGAGTACCCATTGTCCCACGATTCTTGGTGTGAGTGCGAGCGTGTGCACGCGTGTGTGCACATGCACGCACCCAGATTTTAACATTTCTTGTCAGGCAGTCCCACCTCTCATCCTGCATTGTCTTCTGGCTACTGCTTTGTGTAATAGTGACGTTGGCACAACTATCTCTAAAACAGGCAGCATGGGGACAATAGGATGCCCCTTTACAAAGCTTTGAGGCTAGATGGGGGATGTCGTCTGGGGGGGGGTGGGAGGCAGCTGGATGAAGGTGTTGTCAGGGTGAAAGTAGGGAAGTTCACTGGACGAGGGTGAGTCAGCCACATGGTTGGGGTGATCGTGGTGTCTGCTTCTCCCTTTGTGGAATAGGGCCCCATTTGGGGGAGTCCCACTACCTTAGGGCTGGAAGCAGAGGCTTCAGAGGTTTCAAAGCTTCTCTGTAATTCTGAATCAAGGGGGCAAAGGGTGTAGCCTGGCCTTTGGTTTCATGGGTTTCGTGTTTCTTTTCAGGGCTGGGCCTGGGGCTTGCTGATTTCAGACTGACGCTTGTTGGGAAGCGTGGACGGGTGTTGGGGAAGGGTTTGGGCATCATATTTTTTAAGTTTGTTTATTTATTTAGAAAGTGTGCACGTGAGCAGGGGAGGGACATAGAGAGAGGGAGAGAGAGGATCGCAAGCAGGCTCCTAGCTGTCAGCGCAGACGTGGGGCTTGAACTTACGAATCGTGAGATCATGACCTGGGCGGAAGCCAAGAGTCCGACACTTAACTGACTGAGCCACCCCACGCGCCCCTAGGCATCGTATTTCTTAAAGTTCGTAGCCAGTTCACACATTTGGCCAGGATTGAGAGCCCCTAGATTACACCGACCTTGGCTGCTGACCCTGTGAGAGGCGCCCTTGTTCATTTTCTCACGTAAGCCTCACCGCAGGCCTGTGAGGTGGGCGTTGGTGTCCCCATTTATAGGGACAAGGAGTAGCAGAGCCGGGATTCACACTCAGACCCCACTAGCGCCCATGTCTTCCTGGTCCTCCGTGTTCTGGTGCCCTCTAAACTGGCAGCTGCCAGGGAGAGACTGAGGTGGGGAGTGCAGGGAGGCGGTCTCATGCTGTGGTTCGAGCGTGGGCCCTGGAGCCACAACCCCCGGGTGTGATGCCCAGCCCCCCACGTCAGGCGGGTCACTGAGCATCTCTGGGCTTCAGTGTCCTTCTGTGAGCAACGGGGATTATGATCTCTGTTATTATCCTATATAACCATAATAATTACACTGTACATATCATTACATGTTACTACGGTGACTACCATTCTTAACGAGAGTCGCTATAGCTTCCCTCATAGGGCCGGGGTGAGGGCTAAATATGTTATCATGTGCACAACACTGGGAACACACAAATGCTATTTAAGCATCTTGCACATTCGTCATCATTACTCCCATATCTACTCTGGTTCTACTCACGTCTCCCCGAGGTGTTACGGGTGACGTCACTTAAGGAACATGAAGCCTTTTGTTGAGCCTCCCCCCTCATCAGTGTTTTATTTTTTTATGTCTTCTGGTGAAAAGAACGCAGGTGACGTTTGCGTACGTATTTGAAACTGCACTGCTGGGAATTCACGTGCAGGGGAGATCATCAGACCTCCCTCTACCACTTTGGGGCCGGGATGGGGGTAGAGGTCATAGGGAGGAGGCGGAGTGGATGGCCGTCCTTTCCCCCTTTCTCTAGGATTGTGTAATCGCCAGTGTGTTGCTTATGAGAAGGTTGACCCCTGCCCTCCTGGTTCTGAAGTGTCCTCTGCCTCGCGACACACAGCTGCTGGCCAGCTTTTCTTTTGGCGAGGCCAGGGCAGGCCAGGTGGTGTTTGCCGGAAAGGAACTTCCAGATTAGTCAGGGCAGAATTGCTAAAAGAGAGGGCCTCTGAAGTTCAGCAGAGGTTGGATAGACAGTCGAGAACCCCTTCATTTGTTTGACACGCTAAGCACTGCCATGTGTCTCCAGGCTCGAGGCTGGCTCGCCCCGGTGGGCAGCCGGGCAGCCAGACAGCCGGCCCGCCAGCCCGTCCTCGTTACAGTGATTGAAATGGATGTGCTCTTTCCCTTGATCAAAGACGCTGCGACAACTTCACAAAATGAGGCTGCCTCTTTGAGTGTGCTTCAGTCGCAATGACAGGCTGCCCAAGGGCTGCGAGACAAAATGCTTTCTCCCTCCCCCAGCCTCTACTGTCACTTAGCTGGACTTTTGTCTTGTTTTGTTTTCTTAAGACCCAAATCCAGCGACCAGCTGTGCTGCTTTAGTATTCTTTAGAATATTGATATGCACGCATCATGATGTTATTACCTTATCTTGGCCCTGTGAATTGTAACGCAGTATCACGCTCTTGAGGTTTATGGAGGGAGCAAGGGGACCCTAATGGGACTGGATTTGTTTGGCATGGGACACAGCTTGGGACCACATGAGTTGGTTGGTTTTAATGGGGTTCATGTGGGACGCAGAGGTCTCTGTTCTCTTCCTTGTTTTCCCTGTCCTCTTTGTGTGCCCCCAGCCCCCACCCCAACTTAACACAGCAGGGTGGTGCACATTAGATCACATGTGCCTTTTAAAAACCTTGATACTGAGTCTGCCCCCCAAATGCTAGGAGTGGGACCCCAAACATTTTAAGCTCCCCAGGTGATGATAGTGTTTGGTCAAGGTTTTGAATGACCTGCTGTTGGAAGGACTTCATCACTCTTGTTCTTGATTGCATTATCGGAATGTGGAGTTAAGGCTCTCTGGTGACCTGCTGAGTAAGGCTGGGAGTTAAGTGCTTTGTCCTTTCCTGTGGCCTTATCTGTTTTCTCTTCTGGGCGTCAGAAACGAAATTCCCAACATCTGTTCTGCCAAGTCCTCTGCCAAGCAGTTGTCTGATGCCCAAACTGATGAACTGAAAGCCTGGCCCGTAGTGGAAGGGGATTGGATTAGCACCACCAGGAAATGTTGGCTGGAGTTTGTCAGGCTTGTGCATCACTGAGTAATAATGATCTACTCTACTGAGTGTTACTTGGTGCTAGGCACTGGGTTTTACACCCATTAATCTTCACTGGAACCCTTTGAGGTAGTTACTAATACCCTTATTTATAAAAGAAAACTAAATTTCAAAGAGGTTGAATAACTGGTTCAAGGTCACTGCACTAGAAAGGATTTGTACCCAGGGCTACCTAATTTCAAGGCCTGTGCTTTTGACTTTTTTATGCTATAAAAGTGGCCTTGATGCGTATGTAATTCATTTTCATCACCATTGTTATTCCAGAAGTCCCCACTGTGATGCTGGTGATCAATCGATAATGGGGGGAAAAAGGAAGAAAGAAAGAAAGAAAGAAAGAATGAAAGGGAAAAAGAAAAAGAAAGAAAGAAAAAAGAAAAAATCCTTTTGGTTATAGAAATCTTCAAATATACAAAAAAAGAAATAATAGTATAATGAACCCCATGTATCTGTCACCCAGCTTCAACAATAATTAACATGTGGCTGATTCTGTTTCATTTCTGCCTCGTTTTCATCTCACATCCCAAACTGGATTGCTTCAAAGCACATTCCAAACACGGTGTTTTTTCATCTCAAACATTTTGGAGTTCCTCTGTGTTGTGCACCGTGTGCTGGTTGGCATGGAGGGTTTAAGAAATGTCACGACTTGTGCCTTCAAGGAGCTTATGTGCAGAAAAGATACGAGAACTAATAATAAGGTAGCTAGTATACAAGGCCATACATGTACAACTGGTTATATTTCAAACGCCCATTTACAAGTCAGTAATTTGGAATTCTGAGCACATTTTATTGTTGAGAAAATAAATACCAATTAAAATTTCTGAACATAAAACCTTAACCAGTACTAAAACACACATGACATATATTAGCCTTAATGACAAAGGGCTAATATATAAAGAATTCTTACACACCAGAAGGAAGGAGATCCTAGTAGAAAAGCAGACAAGAGATAACCAACCAGCAGCCACACAGTAGTAACAAATAGCCAATGAGTGAATATGAGTCCTGTCACTTTCCTTAGTAATGAAGGAAATACACATTTAAAAAAAATGTCATTTTGCTGACCAAATTGTTAAAAATTGGAGAAAAGATGGTAATATTCAGGCTTGAATACTATTAACTATTGAGAATTGCTAAAGGGAAAAAACTACCCCCACTTTGCAGTTTGGAAAGTAAATTGGCATTGGCAGTTTGTGGGATAGTTTTGCAAAATGGGTCAAAAGTCCTTGGTTGTGGCCACATCTTGTGCCTATACTTCCACTTCTAGGAATTTACTCTAAGGAAACAATTAAAAATCTGTGCAAATCCGTAGCCACAAGGAATTTTATCTAAGTTCTGCTTATAGTAGCAAACATTTGCAAACAATGCAAATATCCAGTAATAGAGAATTACGTAAATAAATTAGACATAATTTATATACAATTCACGGCTGCCATACTCTGCATCTAGTAAAATGATGTGTTACTGAGGCTCATTTCATGTAGTGGGTGTATGTGGGTATGGTAGGAACTTCATTAATCGAATAATTTAAAATAGAAATATTTTCATTTTGTTCTAAGTA